CTTCTCTTCTCTTCTCTTCTCTTCTCTTCTCTTCTCTTCTCTTCTCTTCTCTTCTCACTTCTCTTTTCTTCTCTTCTCTTCTCTTCTCTTCTCTTCTCTCCACTTCTCTTCTCTCTTCTCTTCTCTTCTCTTTTCTCTTCTCTTCTCTTCTCTTCTCACTTCTCTTCTCTTCTCTTCTCTTCTCACTTCTCTTCTCTTCTCTTCTCACTTCTCTTCTCACTTCTCTTCTCTCTTCTCCTCTCCTTCTCTTTTTCTTCCTCCTCCTCCTCCTTTTCATTCTCTTTCTTCCCCTTCCTCTCCTTTCCCTTCTCCCTCCTCTTCCTTTTCTCCTTTGCCTTCTTCTCTCCCTTCCTTCCCCTTCTCCTTCTCTTTCTCCTGCTCCTTCTCCCCCTTTCCTCCTCTTCCTTCTACTTCCTCCTCTCTTCTCCTTTTCCTTCTCTTCCTTTCTCCTCTTTTTCCTTTTTTCCCTCTTCCTCCTCTTCTTCCTCTTCCTCCTCCTTCTCCTCTTCCTCCTCTTTTTCCTCTTCTTCCTTCATCCTGTCTGGGGAGATGGAGGATAAGGCCTAGCTGGTCTTCCCTTTGTGACAGGTCAAGCTGGCCGTGATCAAGTCCCTGCGCCCCATGCTCAGCCTCCTCCTGCCCATCGAGGAGCTGCGGGAGCAGGTGTATGACTACATCCCCCTGCTCTTGGCAGAGTACCAGGGCAGTGTGGAGGCCCTCTTCATCACCCAGGTGAGCGGCCGGGCTCCTTCCTGCCCTGGGATGCCCGAGCTCTGGCTGGCCCTCTGGGGCGTCCCCAGGCTCGTGCTATCTTGTGGCTGAGCACTAGCGGGATGGATGGAAGTTTTTGTCCAGGTGCTTTGACTCCTTCCCAGGTTGGGGCAGCCAGGGAACATCCCTAAGGTATTGCATATAGAGTGGTGGCGAGTCTTTTCTGGGTGAATTTGCAGGAACCAGAATTTGAGTAGTTCTTCAACAGAACGTGATAGGATGTGAGATCCAGAGTCAGGAAGACCTGAGTTCAAATTCTGCCTGTCACCTACTAGCTGTGTGATCCTGACCAAGTCCCTGAACTTCTATGTTCTAGGGGCTGGAGAGACAAAGAACAATGAAATAATCCCTGCCCGCAGGGAGCTTCCATTCTTCTGGTGGCCTGAGGGGGAGGCAGGGTCATGACGCATACACAGATCAGTATCATATACGGTGGGGGGAATGGGGACAATGCAGAGATTCAGACAAAGTCCTCTGCGAGTGTGTGTGTATGTGTGTGTGTGTGTGTGTGTGTGTGTGTGCACACGCATGTGCATGTGTAGAACGTTTTTTAGTGGCCCCTCCCATGGTGCCACGTTGCCTCTTGATCATCGGTAAATATTTCTCAAGCCCTCTTTGCCAGGCCCTGGGGAAACAAAGGTGACAGAACAAAGTTCCTGCCCTCAGAAGGCTTACGCCCTATTTAGGAGTATGACTTGTACACATACAATGAGAACTGGGCAGGCAGAAGGGCCCCTGCAGAGTCTCGGGTGGATGGCGCAGAATGTGAGAAGGAGACTGGGGTGAGAATGGCGAGCGATGCGACGCTGGGGAAGGCCTTACAGAGCCTCGAGCTGGGCCTCGAAGGCAGCCCAAGCCCTAGGCCAGTAGAGTGGGCAGTATTCCACAGGGGGAGAATAGAGCACCAGGCCTGGAGGTGAGAAGAATGTCTGGCAATGATGGGACCAGTGAGTGAATCAGTCTGGCTGGAGCATAGATACATGTAGTAGACAAATAGGGTTGTAACTAGGGTGGGGCAACTGACCTTTGTCCCAGGGCACCAACATTTAGAAAGGTGCCGGCAGCAGTTCCGTGCCTTTATCAGTATTGAAACAACTAAAGCTTGAAGTCTAGTTAGCTGGGATAATGAATTAAAACAGGAGGCTGCTGTAGGGGATACTTGCTCCCCCATCCCCCATCTCCCTACTCAGCAGCAGTCTTGCAATGTGCTGAGGTCTCTAAATGCAGAGGCTAAATCCCAGTCTCTATAGGGCAGTGGGTAATGTCTTGGGATCTCGTAGTCTCCCCCAGCTGAATTTGTCTTTAAAAAGTTGATTGAAGGGTGGATTCCATTCTGTTTGCCCAGGAAAATTTTAAAAAAAGTTTTCCCAAAATGGCTCATTATTTGTTCAGGAGAAAAGATAGTGGGGGAGGCTGGGGGGGTTGGGGTGGAATGGAGCCCCGGCCCCCAGGCTCCAGATGGGGAGGTCAGCCCCGGGGGCACGCAGAGCCCCTGGCCCATTGCTGTCTGTCTCTCTTTGGCAGATCCTGAGGCAGATCCTGGAGGTCTCTGTCTCCAGCAACACGCCAGTCCCCAAAATGCAGCTTCACACCATCTTTACTGAGCTGCACTTCCAGGTAAGGGGGTGAAGCTGTGCCCGTTCCCGTTAGGCCGCCGAATTCTGGAACTGGGCAATGGCAGGGAGAGCCCGGAAGGGTTACATGGGGCAGTGCCCGCCTCCGTCCAGTGAGCACCTCTGTCCAGCATCTGATGAGGGTCTTTGAGGGTCATAAAGAGCATTGCTGCTGGGCTCATGCTCAAAGAACTTTAACTAGACTTTAAAGATGTCTTTCATTCTCTCCACTGTGGCTGTGGAGCCAGCTCTAACTGGCTCGTGAGAGTCCAGAGTGCATCCCCCTCCCCTTTTTTCCTTGGAGAGCTGGTTGTTAAACATTAACCAGTAGGTCACTGGCTAGAAGCTTGGCTGCTGCTGATCTAATGATCATGCTCTGGGACACAGAAGAGGAGCAAGTGATTCTGTCCTATCCGCCCTCATCTGGCAGAGCTGAACACGGTGTCTCTAATGCATCTGGATCTGGACGGAGCTCAGTGGAACGATTCCCTCCCTTGTTCTGGGCACTGTGGTCCTCGCTGCAGACAATCAGCTTTGGGCCGTCAGGGCACACTGTGAACTCATCTGGAGCTGGTAGCCCACTAGAACCCCCAGATTGTTTTCTCTCTTGGAGGTGGCCATAATAGGGGTTATCATTTAAGAAAACTGAGGCTCAGAGTGCTTAAGCCCACAGCTAGTGAGGGAGATGGGCTAAAGATCCTTGTTTCTTGTCTCCTATTTCACTCTGAATTCATTTCGATCAATCAATCAGCAAGCAATTGATTATTAAGTCTTTACTATGTGCCAGGCATGTCTCTGAAAGATGCACGGAGGAAACGTTGGATTCATTTTATGCTGGAAAACAAATAACTCTTGTCCCCTGGCTCACTAAGTGCTTGGTTAAAAAATAATGACAACAACAGAATAAGGCGAGAAGTGAGAAGACACAAGTCTATCTCAGAGGACAAGCGCAGGAGAGGAGCCACAGGGCCAGCTTCTGAACCAGGAGCCTGCCTCTGGCCCCTCCTCAGCACCTCTCCGAGCTTCAGTTTCACAGGAGGTGCCAACCTGTATCGGTAGAGGGAGGTCCCTCATCTGGGAGTTACCCAGGGGAGGTCCCACCTTGTCACCTGCAACCATTTGGCCACATCTGAGCTCAGCAAATTTGCTTACTCTTCTGAGTTAGGCAAACCCAGGCACGCCCAGCTGGTTGGGAGAGATGGCGGTCTCTGGGAGTGCTGGGTGTCAATCAGAGAGCATTTATTAGTCACCTGTTGTGTGCTGGGCACTGTGGGAGCCAAGGTCCTAAGAGGCACCATTTGGTGGTGGTGGGGGCCACTCAGGGCCACACTGGAGGGGCCGCTGCTGGAGGCCCGTTTCAAGGGACCCTCGACTGAGACCTGGGAGGGGCCTTGCAGTCTGACTCCCTCCTTCTATAGAGGGGGAAACTGAGGCCCAGAAAAGGGAAGCAACAGGTGGTAAGGGACAGAGTCAGGACTCAGAGGGGAGCTTGGCTGTCCAGCCCCTCCCCTTCCAGCAAAAGGCTGACCCTCCCCCTCCTCCCTCCCCCTCCCTCCCCCTACCCTTCCTCCCTCTTCCCCTCTCCCCCCAGGTCTGTTCCAAGGCTCCTGCCCTCCAGCAGTTCAGCAGTGAGAACCTGGCCGAGGTTGTCCAATGCTTCATTGCTCTGGGTGAGTGTTTCCCCTCCAGCCACCCCCCCAGCCCATCCCCACTTTGCTGCCTAGTTCTGCTGCGGGCCTGTGTTCCCCGCCCTCCAATCAGAGAACAGCCAGTGCCTTGTCTCTTTTGGACGTATTCAACAAGTAAGGCCCTTTGAGGGGCAGGGGAGCCCGCTGCACTACAAAAAGGTGACCCCGCAGGGCACCTATGGGGGGCTGCTATGGGCGGGGGAGGGCTCCCCACTTCATTCCCATGTGTGTCTGCTGCTCATCCGCTGCGCCTGAGCGTGGCCTGGTTGAGAGGTGACCCAGCCAGGGGTCTGAGTGCGCTTGCACCCAAGGACCTGGGATTTTGCAGGCCTATTTCAGAGGCAGAGTGGCCAGAAAGCAGGCCTTGAAGTCAGGGAGACCTGGGTTCAAGTCCTGTTTTTGACACCTGCTGGCCAGGTGGCCCTGGGCAAGTCATTTCCCTCCTTAGGACCCCAGGGAACTCTCTAAGACTAAACCCTGCTGGTCTGGCGCCTGTCTGCACTGGAGGAGGGAGTCCCCATGCACTCTTGTGTCTGGTGTTAGAGGCAGAGGAGAAAGCAGCCCGGGGTGCATGGAGGGGAAGAGGAAGAGCCTATAGCCATGGTGGAGTCAGAGAAGGAGAAGGGGAGGTGGGGGGGACAGGCAGAGACAGAGAGACAGCAGAGACATGACACACAGACAGAGAGATGGCATGGGCAGGAGAGACAGAGAAGAGAGAAAGGGACAGAGATAGAGACAAAGAGACACAGAGAGACATGGACAGACAGAGAGAGATAGAGAGAGGGACAGAGACAGAGAGACACACACACGGAGACAGACAAAAACATACACAGCAGGCCATCTCCAGCAGCTCTGTGAGCCGCCTGGGTCCCAGGGCCCTCCGTCTCCCTCTGTGCTCAGGGAGGGTGCAGGATGGGGGCCCCTTCTGAAGCATACACCACATCTCTGGAGGCCAGGTGTCTGAGCGGCTTGCTGTCCCTGCCGAGGGAGCCCAGAGCTTGGCCAGAGAGTGAGAGGCCGAAGAGGAAAGAGCAGAACGGCTTAATTTATACGTGTTGAAATTCTCCTCCAGCTGTGGATCAAGAAGAAATGATGAAATGTGTCCAAATTTAGAGCCAGATAACAATAGCAATAACAATAATGATGAGAATGATGACGACTTCTATTAAGATTATCAAAGTGCTTTACTTGGGTTTTCTCTGGGAAGACAGGAGCTGCAAGAGGCAGCATGGGCTAGTGGAGAAGGGCCCTGGATTTGAGGCCAGAGGACCGGGCCCGGCACGCATGCCCTGGCTACCTTGGGCACAGACCTCCCTTCTCGGCCCACAGTTTGCTCTTCTGTGAAACCAGATGTGAACTCAGTGAAACTGAGGGCTCTCCCAGCTTCCTCTGGGCTGTCTTCCATCATTTTATTTATGTCCAACCCGGTATGAAGCTGTCTATTGGGCAAAGGCAGGCCCATCCATAGAGATGTTAGCTGCTGCTTTTGTTATTATTGTTATTGTTATCATCATCATCATCATCATCATCATCATCATCATCATCATCATCATCATTATTGGTGCAATGTTAGGAGAGCTGCCAGACTGAGGTAGAGATGTTGTCTACTTAAGAACCTTGAAACCAGCTACTGACTCAGTGGGAGAAGGCTGTCCTCCCTTAGCCACTCAGACTCTCTGGCTGATGGAGGCTGTCTCAGTCTCTGTCTCTCTATCTCTGTCTCTCTCTGTCTCTGTTTCTCTGTCTTTATCCCTCTCCGTTTCAGACTTTCTTCCTCTCTCTGTCAGTCTCTCTCTGTCTTTGTCTCTGTCTCTCTCCCCCCCTTTCTGTCTGTCTCCTTCTCCTCTCTCTCTGCCCCACCCTCCCTTTCTCTCTATGTCTCTTTCTCTGTCCTTCTCTCTGTCTGTCTCACCATTCCCTATCTGTTTCTCTGTCACCCTTCCCCCCCCCACCCCCACTGCAGTCTCTCTCTGCCCCACCCCGCCCTCTCTGTCTCTGTCTCTCTGGCTGTGAGCCTGACTTTCTTCCCTTTCCTCACTTCATGGCTGAGGACTTGCTGGTCCCGGGTGACCGGTGGGCTCCGTCCTGCCCTCCCCCCAGCACCGCTAGCCTTCCTTCCCTCTCTCCTCCCCAGCCCGCTCTTACCCTGATGAGATGATGAAATTCTTCTGTAACCAAATGCAGACGGGGAAGGAGGCCATCCGCGTGGGGACACTGACCCTGCTCCGGGCCGTCCTCAGTGCTGACGGTGAGTGGGCCCCATGTGAGCTGCTCCTGCATCCATCCTGCCCATGGGAACCAGGGACTGGCTTGGCCCTCCTCTTCCTGCTGGGGAGCTGCTGGGTGGGCAGCCTCAAGGCCTCTGATAGTCCCTTTCCATCTTAGAAATACATTTCAGCAGTGTTCTTCTGGCCCTACTCCCCCTGCCCTCTCCCCCGAATACAACTTGGTACAACAACCACATCTGCACCCAGCATTCTGCCCTCTCTGCTTTGCCCCTTTAGCAACCTCTCCCTATCCCCTCTACACCTTCTACCCCTCATCCACTCAGTGACTAATCAATCAACCAATAAGCATTTGTTTTTTTTTGTTTTTTGTTTTTTTTTGCTTTTTGGTGAGGTGATCGGGGTTAAGTGACTTGCCCAGGATCACACAGCTAGTAAGTGTTAAGTGTCTGAGTCTGGATTTGATCTCAGGTCCTCCTGACTCTAGGGTCAGTGCTCTATCCACTGGGCCACCTAGCTGCCCCAACCAATAAGCATTTGTTAAGCACTTACTGTGAACCAGACACTGGGCTAGCTTTGGAAATACAAAGACAAAGAGAGGATTGACCTTGGAGATCTACTGGTCCAACCTCCTCCTTTTGCCTGGGAGCAGACTGTCCTGGAGGGGCTGAGGGATGTGCCTGAGCTCACCCGGGCAGGGGCAGCCCTCGGACCCAGGCCCCTGAGGCCCTTGCCAGGGTGAAGAAGGGGCTTCCAGGACTGGGACCCAGCGCGGCAGGGGCGGGGGGAGCGGCAAGGTGTCTGCAGTCTGTGGGGCAGGGCTCTGTCCCAGCAGGACTTCACACAGCCTGAAGTCAGCCCCTGGGGGCGTCTCTCCCTTTAGTGCCAGAGGTGAACAGCAGGACCCTGCACTCCGTTGTCAAGGTGGTTAGAAATGCCCTTTGTGACCCCCGAGCTAAGGTGAGATGGGGGCAGGGAGAGGGGAGGCCCGAGAGGGAGCTGGGTCCACATGGGCCAGGGCAGACAGACAGGGCTGGGGCCAATACCAGTTGGGCCAAGCCATGACTAGGCAGGAATCCCCACTCCAATGTCCCCCAAGAAGCTCCTCTCTAGAGTGTGGCGAGCCTACAAGGGGGTGGTCTCGCATCTAGGTGAAGGGCCAGAGAGGCTGACTCTGGCTTGGCTGTTAGGAAAGCCTGCCTGCCCCTCTCCTCCCCCTCTCCAGCCCGCCACCCCAAGTGGGATGGGATGCTGGGATGCCCCTCGTTGGAGGTCCCAAAGAAGAGGTAGGATGGCCCCTTGTCAGGGGGGTCAGAAGGGTCTCTTGTTCAGGTCAGGGGGCCGATGGCCTTCAAGGTTCCCCCCCCTCAACCCCGAGACCCTGGGGTTCTGTGATAATGGTCATCAAGGGTCTGCCTGAAGGCTGCCAGGGAGGGGGAACCGTGCCGCTCTGTTCCACTGCATGCTGGGAAGCGTGAGAAATTGTTCTTTTCTTTGGTTCTGCTTCGTCCAGACCTGTGTTTTCATTGGCACAGGAGATTCCCGATGGCCAATCTGCCTCCATCAGGGCCTACCAGTAACTGCCCCCATCTGTAAAATGGGAACAAGAGTGAGGGCTCTAATGATTCAGCCAGTGTGTCTCTGTGATGATGGCCCATGCTAAAGGACCCCAGCCCTTGGGATCATGGAGCGGGGCTGGAGGGGGCTCTGCTCCAGCAGAGGGGAGTCACCGAGAGGCAGAGTTAGGTCCGACATGAGGAAAAGCTTCTTGATATTTAGAACCGTCCCCAAATGGGACTGGCTTCCTTTGATGCTGGTGGCTACCCCTCCTTGGACGTCTTCAGGCAAAGGCTGGGTGGAAATCAAGTCCGGAGTCCTTACTTTGCAGATTAGGACACAGACCCAGAGAAGGGAGTTAAGGCAGCAAAGAGAGTTACCTAGGTCTTCTGACTCCTCAGCTGGAGCTCTGTCCACCACTCCATGGACTCCTCTGTCAGTGACACCGAGTAGATTAAGGAGGACTTCCTGCCCTCTGGGAGCTTAGAGTCTAATCAGACTCGGGAACCGTTGTCCTCTTTCTTAGGGGCTAGTCTTGGCGTCATGCTTCAAACCCACTGCCTGTCACTTAGGTTGTGTCCTCTCCTCCTCCATCAGGTGAAGCTGGCCATTCTCCGGGTCATTGGCCAGCTGGCCATCTCTGGTTACCAGGAAAGGGTCAGAGGCTGGGGCCTAAGATATGTCTCCCTGCAACTTATATTATCTACCTACAGGCTGGTAAGGAGTCAAAGCCAAACCATTTCACTAGGACTCAGAAGGCTGACAGTGTGCGGGAGCTCAAGCTGTATGTGTGTGTATGTGTGTGCGCGTGTGTGTGTACCTGTCCTTTTCTTCCAAGGAATTCCAAATTGTTTCACATTGTTTTAAAATATTTATTGTGAACTTATCATCAACAAGTTAAAACATTTTGACATACAAAGAAGGATTGTAGTCAGTCAACAAACATTTATTAAGCACCTACTGTGTGCTAGGCACTGTGCTAAGAGCATTGTATATGGAGTCATCGACTGCCAGTTTGTTTTTTAAATGGGCATATAATTTGAGAAAGTAGTAACAAAATTTCTATCTCCTTCTGAATTACTTTTTTGTGTCTTTTAAATGTTTTATTGATCTTTCTTGCTTTCCTTTCCTTTCCTTTCCTTTCCTTTCCTTTCCTTTCCTTTCCT